CGCTTCTCATCCATGGAAAGCATAGAGTAGCAACATTAGGAAGGAGTCTTTGGGGACACTGGTGCTTCAATGGTAGAATTCTTGCTTTCCATGCGAGAGACCCAGGTTCTATTCCCGGCCAATACACCTCATGCGCAGCACCACTCATCTGTCACTGGAGGTTTGTGTGTTGCTATGATGCTGAACAGGTTTCAGTGGAGCTTCCAGACTAGGTGGACTAGGAAGAAAGGCCTGGATATCTACTTCCGAAAATCAGCCAATGAAAACCCTATGAATCACAGTGGTCCAATCTGCAACTGATCATGGAGATGGTACAGGACTGGGCAGTGTTTTGTTCCATTGTGCATGGGGTCACCATGAGTCAAGGGCCAACTTGACAGCAGCTAACAATGTCAGGAGTTTTATTTAACCAAGAGCCAGTGTGCAGCTATTTTGTTGAAGTAGTGTTTGCAGTGGGAAGAAATGAAAGAAGGAGGGAGGGAGGAAGAATAAACTGGAAACCATCTGAATGCCCATGATAAGGGAATGGTGAGATAAACTATGGCCAGCCTTTCCCTCTCTCCCACTGTCTTACTTATCTAGTGCTGCTATAACAGAAATACCACAAGTGGATGACTTTAACAAACAGAAATGCATTGTCTCACAGTCTAGGAGGCTATAAATCCAAATTCAGGGCACCAGCTCCAGGGAAAGGCTTTCTCTTTCTTTTGGTTTGGGGGAAGGTAATTGTCATCAATCTTCCCCTGGTCTGGGAGCTTCTCAGCACAGGGACCCCGGGTCCAAAGGACATGCTCTGCTCCTGGCACTTTTTTTCTTAGTAGCATGAGATCCCTCTCCTCTCTGTTCGATTCTCTCTTTCATATCTCAAAAGAGATTGACTCAAGATACAGCCTAATCCTGTAGATTGAGTCCTGCCTCATTAATGTAACTGCCTCTAATCCTGCCTCATTAACATCATAGAGGTTAGGATTTACAACCCATAGGATAATCACATCAGATCACAGAATGGTGGGCAACCACACAATACTGGGAATCATGGCCTAGCCAAGTTGATACACATTTTTTGGGGATACAATACAATCTATAACATTCCCACCCTTTGGCCCCCCAAAATTCATGTCCTTGCCACATGTAAAGCACATTCACCCCATCATATCATCCCAAAAGTCTTAAATCAACTCCAAGTCCATAATCTCATCTTCTGCAAAATTTCTCTTCATCTATGAAATCTAGAATGCAAGTTATCTGCTTCCAAAGTACAATGGTGGAACAGGCATGAGGTAGACATTTCATTACAAATGGGAGAAATTAGAGGGAAAGAAGGGATAACAGGCACCAAACAAGTCAGCAGAACATATTGCATTAGCTCTCAGGGCTTGAAAATAATCCTCTGTCTCTGAGACCATTTAGACAATGGCCCTACCCTCCAGACTCAGGTGTTGGTCACACTCTCCAGATTCTGGGTGGAGGCCCCTTGGCCCTGGGCTTCAGCTCTGCCTTCCAGGCCCACTGGAATGGGAACTCTGCTCCCTTGCGTTTGGGTGGCCCCATTCTCCTAGTCCATGTTAGTGGCAACCCTACCTCCTCGGCCCTGGCAGGCCAAGTTCTTCTGCCCCTTGGGCATGGCAGCCCAGCCCCCTCAGCTTTAGGCCGCAGATCTGGCCCCATCCCGCTGGCACTTATGAAAGGCAGCCCCACACTCGGAACTGAGTTGGTGAAGATTTGACTCTTTGAAAACTAGGAGGCTGTGGCCTCACCCTTTGAAACCTCAGAGGCAATGGTTCCACCCTTTGAGACTCCAGTGGCCCTACCCTTTGAGACTGAGGCAGCTCTGCTTCCTGTGTTCTCTGTCTCTTCAGCTTCTGCTTTGTAGTTCCTTGGCCTCTCAGCCCCTTGTGCTTCTTGGGCCTGTACAGCATCTGCCCTGCTCAGGCAATTGTTCCAAAGCTCTTTAGCTCTACTGATAAATGTCTGGAGGCACCCCACTCCACCAGTAAACCTCAGCTGGAAGGCACTCAACTCTCTTGCTCCATGGATCAGCAAGGCTAGCTTCATAGATAAGTGCCTGAAGGCACCCTACTACACCAGGAAGCCTCCTGCATAAAGGCACTCCACTCTCTTGCTCCATGGGTCAGCTCCCATGCCGTCTTATGCCAGTCTCCTGGTTCTGCTTCTGCCATTTGCTGCTGCTTCTCACCATCTGCACCATTTCTGGTGTTACAGCTCTCCTCACTTGCTACTGAGTCCTCGCTAGAATTGTCTTTGATGTCCATAATTCCACCAACAGTCTCTTCAAGGCAATCTAGGCTTTTACTATTAGGCGCTTTAAAACTCTTCCAGCCTCTACACATTTCTCAATTCGAAAACTGCTTCCATATTGTAAGTATCTGTTACAGCAGCATCCCACTCCTGGTACCAAATTCTGTCTTAGTTATCTACTGCTGCTGTAACAGAAATACCACAAGTGGATGGATTTAACAAACAGAAATTTATTATCTCATAGTCTAGGAGGCTATAAGTCCAAATTCAGGGTGCCAGCTCCAAGGGAAGGCTTCCTCTCTGTGTCAGTTCTGGGAGAAGGTCTTGTCAACAATTTTCCCCAGTCTAGGAGATTCTCAGTGCAGGGCCCCTGGGTCCAAAGAACACACTCCACCCCTGGTGCTTCTTTCTTGGCTGCATGAGGTCCCTCTCCTTTCTGCTCAATTCTCTCTTTTATATCTCAAAAGAGATTGATTCAAGATACAACTTAATCCTGTAGATTGAGTCCTACCTCATTAACACAGCTGCCTCTAATCCTGCTTCATTAACATTGTAGAGGTTAGAATTTACAACACATAGGATAATCACATCAGACACAAAAATGGTGGACAACCACACAGTACTGGGAATCATGGTCTAGTCAAATTGACACACGTTTTTGGGGAACACAGTACAATCCATAGTATCCATGGACTGTTATACAGTGCTTAGGAGGGGTGAGTGAGTTCTAGACAAGCTGACCTGAAAAGGAAACCACAAAACTAAAAAGAAAAAAGAAGGAAAAAAACAGTTGCATTTAGTCAATTCCAATTCATGGCAATCTCATGTGTGTCAGAGTATAACTGTGATCCATAGAGTTTTCATGGCTGTGACCTTTCGGAAGCAGATCACCAGGCCTTTCTTTTGAGACATTTCCAGGTGGGTTCAAACCGCCAACTTTTCAAATAGTAGCCAAGCGCTTAACAGTTTGTGTTACCCAGGATCTGCCAGGAAACCACAACGTGCTGCTAAATAAGAAAAAGAAGATTCAGAGATGTGTTTAGAGTAGGGTGGTGGGGCAAGAGGAGGGCTGGTTTTATATAGCCTACAAACTAAGAATGGCTTTTACATTTTTAAATGGTTGGGGAAAAAGTCAAAAGAATAACATTTTGTGAGACGTGAAAACTATATGAAGTGCAAATTTCAGTCTCCATAAATAAAGTTTCATTGGCACACAGCATGCCTATCCATTTGCATGTTGTCTATGTCTGCTTTTGTGCTATGATGGCAAAGTTGAGTAGCTGCAACAGAAACTATATAGCCTGCAAAGCAGAAAATATTCACTATCTAGTCCTTTTCTAAAAAGGTTTATTGACCCCTTGTCTTAGTTATCTAGTACTGCTATAACAAAAATACCACAGATGGGTAACTTTAACAAACAGAAACTTATTTTCTTACAGTTTAGGAGGCTAGAAGTCTGAATTCCGGGCAGTGGCTCTAGGGAAGGCTATCTCTCTGTGTCAGCTCTGGGGGAAGGTCCTTGTTTCCTTTCAACATCTGTGGGCCTGGTGTTCTTTGATATCTTCATATGTCTTGCCATCAATCTTCCCCTGGGTTTAGGAGGTTCTCAGCACAAGGAGCCCAAGTCCAAAGGATGTGCTCCACTCCTGGCTCTTCTTTCTCAATGGTAGTAGGTCCCTCACCTCTCTGCTCACTTCTCTCTCCTTTTACCTCTTGTAAGATAAAAGGTGTGACTTAAGCAAGGGTGTGACTTGAGTAAGGGTGTTACTTAAGTAAGGGTGTACTTTGAGTAAGGCAATGGCTTGAGTCACACTCTTTAGTAAGGGTATGACTCAAGATACACCCCACCCTAATCCTGTTTAGGACTTATAATGCACAAAATAGAGAATAATTGCATAATACCACAAAATGGAGGATAATTACATCAGATCACAAAATGGAGGACAGTTACACAATACTGAGAATCACGGCCTAGCCAAGTTGACACATATTTTGGGAGACGTAATTCAATCCATGGCACCCGTGGTTTGCAGCAAGATAACATTTTATAAAACAGCAGTGATAGACACCATTCTAAGTACTTTGCAAGAACACATTCATTGTATTTATTTATTCATTCATTCATTTTATCATTTATTCATCAGATGCTTAATACCTATCCCCTGGGCCAGGCACTGGGCACTGGCAGTGAACAAGCAGACATGGCCCTTGTTCTCCAGGAACTTAAAGTCTATGTCTAGATCTTTCTTTTTCCAATATAAACAATCCTAGTCCCTCCAAGGAAACCCTGGTGGAGTAGCAGTTAAGAGTTCAGCTGCTAACCAAAAGGCCGGCAGTTCGAATCCACCAGGCACTCCTTGGAAACCCTATGGAGCAGTTCTACTCTGTCCTATAGGGTCGCTATAAGTCAAAATCGACTCGACAGCAATGGGTTTTGGTGGTTTTGGTTTTAGTCCCTCCAACTGTTTTTCACAAGACTTGTTTTCAAGCCCCTTGCAGTCAGCCTCCCTCCCTCTCCCCCACTATATATCCCAAAAGTCTCAGTCACTCCTAAGGAGGGTACCCAGAATTGTCCCCAGGCCTCCTGATGTCTCACAAGCAGATAGTTTTCCAGAAGGACCTACCTTGGACTGGGCCATGCTTTCAGTCTGGCTTCAAAGTGCTCACCATCCAACTTTTTCCATTTGCAGCCTCAGCTCTCCAGTGTCCCCCAAGAGGGGAGGTACCCCAGTCCTTGACCCCCTTCATGTGGATGGGAGCAGGTGCCAGCTATGAAGAAGGATGTGGCCATGTCTTCACATGACCCCTCCTGCAGAAAACCAAAGCTACCTCCAGACCCATGTCCCAGTGCCCGGGTCTCTATACAATACAGTCCCAGGACAAAGCCAGCTCTTCACTGGATGATCTGAAAACTAGAGTTTGAGCCATGAGCTTCAAGACTTTCCTTTACCTCTTCTTCATTCATATTCATGCCCACTCCTTATTGCAGACTATTTACTTCTAGAAAAACAGCCTTGGATCAGTCCTTGAAGGCCTCCCCAAATCTGGACCCTTTCTTTTGGCTCTGCTGGGGCCCTGAAATCCAGTGTTTGGCATAATTGTTACTTTGGGGTGCTGAGGAGAAGCAGCCTTGGGTTGTGGCCTGGGGAAGGCACTGCAGGGTCCCAGGATGGCGTCCAGTGACACACCCTCTTCCACTGCATCCAAGATCACCATTAGCGTGATCCTCACAGTCCTCATCCTCATCACCATCGCCGGCAATGTGGTTGTCTGCCTGGCCGTGGGCCTGAACCGCCGACTCCGCAGTCTGACCAACTGCTTCATCGTATCCTTGGCCATCACTGACCTGCTCCTTGGCCTCCTGGTGCTTCCCTTCTCTGCCATCTACCAGCTGTCCTACAGTTGGAGCTTCGGCCAGATCTTCTGCAACATCTACACCAGCCTGGATGTGATGCTCTGCACGGCCTCCATCCTCAACCTCTTCATGATCAGCCTCGACCGGTACTGCGCCGTCATGGACCCGCTCCGCTACCCGGTGCTGGTCACCCCCGTGCGGGTCACCATCTCCCTGGTCTTCATTTGGGTCATCTCCATCACCTTGTCCTTCCTGTCTATCCACCTGGGGTGGAACAGCAGGAACAAGACCGTCGGTAGCAACCACACCATCTCTAAGTGCAAAGTCCAGGTCAATGAAGTATACGGCTTGGTGGATGGGCTGGTCACCTTCTACCTGCCTCTGCTCATCATGTGTATTACCTACTACCGCATCTTCAAGATCGCCCGGAATCAAGCTAAGAGGATCAATCACATCAGCTCCTGGAATGCAGCCACTATCAAGGAACACAAAGCTACAGTCACCCTGGCTGCTGTGATGGGGGCGTTCATCATCTGCTGGTTCCCCTACTTTACTGTGTTTGTCTACCGTGGGCTCAGAGGGGACGAGGCCATCAATGAGGTCACTGAAGCTATTGTTCTGTGGCTGGGCTATGCCAACTCAGCTCTGAACCCTATCCTTTATGCTGCATTGAACAGAGACTTCCGCACTGCATACCAGCAGCTCTTCTGCTGCAGGTCCACTGGCCACAACTCCCATGGCACTTCTCTGAGGTTTACCAACTCTCAGATGTCCAGGAGCCAAAGCAGAAAGCACAAGGGGCAGGAAGAGAACCCCCTGAAGCTACAGGTGTGGAGTAGGACTGAGTTTACGGCCCCACAGGGAGCAACAGACAGGTAACAGCCTCAGCCATTTATGCGGGGGGCCCAGGACAGTGGTCACTGGAGGGGGATCCTACTAATGGTAGTAATGATGATGAGATGGCTGAGTTCACGTGGTGTCGGTTACCTGCCGGGCAAGCAGTCTTCACCAGCACTTGGCAAACCTTGTCTCATTTAATCCTCACAAGGGCCCCCTAAGGTAGAATTTTTACCTCCATTTTAAAAGGAGCACATTGAATCTTAGAGAACTTGGCCAGGATCACATAGCTGGGACCTGGACAGAGTCCTCCTGACTCCGGAAATTCTAAGCTTTTCTTTCTAGCTATGTTGTCCTTACAATCGGGAGTCCTAAGTTCAAAGTCCAACTCTGCCACTTCTTGGTCATAAGTGGTCATCTAACCTCTCCAGGACAGCACTCAAGTACCACCGGTTGCCTTCAGGTTAACTCTGACTCCTGGCAACCCCATGTGTGTCAGAGTAGAACTGGGCTCCATAGGGTTTTCAATGGCTAGATTTTTTGGAAGTAGATTGTCAGGCCTTTCTTCCAAGGTGCTTCTGGGTGGACTCAAACCACCAACCTTTTGCAGCTGGGTGCGTTAACCGATTCACCACCCAGGGACTCCTCGGCACTCAAATAGCCATGCAGTAATGCTACCACCCGATGGGGGTGTTGTGGGGATTAAACGAGAAACCCAGTGGGGTTCAGCATTTATTGAGCATCTACTACTGCATCAGCTCTTACCTAGGGAAAGCTCGGATTGGTGGGGATAGAGGAGTGGCAGACTTGGGAGGGCCTTGAATGCCAGGCTAAGGATTTGGGCATTATTATTGTAGATCTTAGGAAAATACAGGAGGGTTATAGCAAGAGTGGGGGAACATCAGCAGATCTGTGCTTTGGAAAGAGGGCTCTGGTTGTAGTCCAAGACATGGACGGGAAGGGCAAGACTGCAGACGAGGACATCAGTGAGGAGGCTGTGGCCCTAGTGTACGGAGAGAAGAGGATAGAGCAAAATCTGGAAGACTTGGAGCCCTATTGCATGTGCAGGGTGCAAGAGATGCAAGAGGGGAGAGTACCCTGGGCTTCCACCTCCAGGAGTGTCCAGGCTGAAAAGATAAACAGGACCTGAATGAGACTTAGATAAATTCACTGGTGACAAGGCCAGTGCTGTATACAAAGGGAAACCGCAGCAAAGATTTGAGGCTCCATGAGGAAGCTCACTCTGTAGAAAGGCAGGTGTGAGACTTAGCTGCTGAGGACCGTACAGGAAAGAATACACATAGTGTCCCAGCACACAGAAGTTGCTCAGTAAATGTTGCTTTCCTTTCTCTTCCCAAAGTCCATGCCTTTGCCCCATAGAATGCTGGTCAGGGAGACTGACCCATTCCATCTGTCCATCCACCATTCATTCATTTGTTCATTCATTCATTCAGCAAACATGCCAGGACCTGTGCTGAGCAGCAGGGATGTAGAGATGACGTATTTGGGATTTATTGTGATGAACAGTTTTGCGAAGTTAATGGCGTCACCCTGGCCGTAGCTCTGCCTTCATTGTTCTGTAGTTTAAGCAAGTCCCTGCTCCTCTAGGGCCTCAGTTTCCTCCTTCTATAGAGTGTTGGGTTTGTCCCATGCAGCCTGCCCTGCTCATCTTCAGAGTTTCCGGAAGCTCTACGAGCTGAGGGATGCAAACACACTTTGTGACTCCCAGATGGGTCACACGTCCACTCTCGAGCATGAGCATCGATCTTAGAAAACACTCGAACAGACATGGCAGGTCCACACTCTAGGGTCTGGATTCTGGTCTGAGAGTTGTAGGAGCTGACCCCTGGGACCATATCCCCTCCAGTCCTTGCAGCTGCCACCTCTACCCCCACCTCAGGCGTGGCATGCCCCCGCCTCAAAGACTTAGGTCCCAGGCCCTACACCCTCATGTCTCGTGCACCCCAACTATTGCCTCACTTTCTCCCTGGCATTCTGACCTCTAGACTCTCCTTCTAAAATCCATCCTCCAAACCACCGAAAGGTGTCTTTTCAAAATGCAGATCTGGAGACTTTTAACTTCTGGTCACGATGGATAAATGCCGTCTGATCGTGTCCTTCCACACTCCCTCGTTCAGGAAGCAGCGTCAAGTGCAAAGCTAATTTAGTTCAGTAAGGAAAAAAGAAAAAAAACATGGGGCATGGACCATATCCAAGGAAACAGATGACACGATTCAGTTGAGTAGTGTGTATCGTTCATTGAAACGTGGCTTTGTGCTGCTTTTGCCTGTGGAACTCCTGGGGTAATCAGATGCCTTCTAACCCCACTCCTTAGGGGAACTCATTTATTCAACAAGCACTTAACAATGATAATAATAGCTAACACTTAGTGAGCACCTATTATTTGCCAGTTTTACCTTTTTTGACGTTGTTTATGTGTATTAATCATTCTGTGAGGGCATCCTATTCCCCCCTGTGGTAGGTGCTAAGGGTGCAAAGGGAGATAAAACACATCCCATACCACACCACCACCCTTGCCACCTGTAATTGCTCCCAGTCTTGTGGGGGAGCAGACAGGCCATGGTTCAGTGCAACACGTTCCAAGGATTGAAAACCAGTGTCCCAGGCACCCAGATGAGGCCACACTTGGCCCAGGTAGCCTCCCCAGAGAGCAGACCCCTGGGCCTTAAACAAAGAAGGACAAGACCCGTTCATCCAGGGTGATGCTAGGCCCTGAGACTTGTGGCCTCATTTCATTCTGAGCACAACCCTATGAAGTAGGTACTTATTTCATCTCCACTGGGCAGATGGGAAACTGAGGCTCAGAGAAGTGAAGTGACTTGCCCCAAGTGACTCACGCTTGTAAATAGGCCAAAACTAGGATCTGAGCAGCAACAGCAGCAATAGGAACCCTTATTATTGACGGTCTTCTGGGTGCCCACATGCTGAAGGGTGTGGACCACGGCGCTGAGCAAGGTAAGGAGGAGGGTTGTGAAGAAGCCAAGGCTGGCAGAGGAACAGTGTCCACCAGGTCACGCAGTATCAGCAGAGCCAGGACCAGATCACATGCTTTTTATGTCCGTGTACAGCAGGCTCTCCTCCAGACCCTAGGAGCAGGGGCCAGGGGGATTTGGCAGAAAAGGCTGGGAGAACCAGTCATCCCCGAGGGCCTCTCACCATGGTTGGGCTGGTGGGTACAGGAGGCCCACAATAGTCCCAGGTTGATTTTCCCCTGAGGCTACAGGGAGTACATCCTTGGATAAGGTCAGCTCGCAGCTTCCCAGCTCACCTGTAGTGTGTCCGTCCTGCTCTCTGTCTGGGGACAAGTGCCAGCGCTGGCCCTGAGCCCTTATCACTGCCAGGGTGGGGTGTCTGCCTGAGTTGAGAATTCTGGAGGGGACAGATCAAATCCACCCTGGGTAGAGTAGGAGCTCCAGGGGAGAAAGTGGCCGAGCTGGCCCATCCTGCCTTCGTTTCCTGCAGCCAACCAGCAACCATATTCCTCCAAATTTCCCCCAAATGACCCTCTGTCTGCCCCCTCCTTGGCCCCTAGTGCCCCATCTTCATCTGACCCTGGACAGCCTCACCAGCCTCCTCACTCACCCCTCTGCCCCCAGGCTCATGCCCTCTGCTCCTTCACTCAGTGAGTTTTCTGAAGCACAGATCTCACCCAGACGCCCCTGCTCTATAACCTCCACCGCTTCCTATGGCCACTGGGTACCAACCTGTGTTCGTGTCCTAACCAGTTGCCGTGGAGTCGACTCTAACTAATGGTGACCCCATGTGTGTCAGAGAAGAACTGTGCCCCATAGGGTTCTCAGTTTCTTTCTTCTGAGGCACTTTCTGGGTAGACTTGAACCTCCTACCTTTCGGTCAGCAGCCTAGACTGTTAACTCTAGAGTGTTTGCACCACCCGGGGCTCTAATTAGTGTCCTACGGCTTTAAACAGCGCACATTTATTCTCCTGTGGTTCTGGAGCCAGAAGTCTAAAGTCAGGGTGTAGGCAGAGCTGCATTCCTTCTGGAGGCTTCAGGAGAGATTCCATTCCCTTGCCTTTTCCAGCTTCTAGAGGCTGCCCACATTCCTTGGCTCACAGCTCCTTCCTAATATCACTCCAACCTCTTAATTCTGTCCTTACATCTCCTCCTCTGTAGTGAAATTTCCCTGTGCCCCGCTCTTTTGAGGATACTCATGATTACTTGAAGTGCCCAGAATAATATCCCCACCTCAAGTTCCTTAACTTAATCATATCTACAAAGTAACATTCACTCTATAGACCGGGATGTAGATATCTTTGGGAGTCATTTTCAGCCAACTGCAAGTTTCATGGCCTTAGCCGGGCATTAGAGGCTCTTTGTGATTTGGTACCTGGCCATCTACTGCTCCATTTCCTGTCACCGTAGCCAGGCCCAGGCCTACCCTCCACCACACTCTGCCCCAGACAAAATAAGCCACTCAGTTTATTCATTCTAAAGCACTTGTCAAGGACTTGCTATTTGCCAGTACTATTTGGGGTATGTCGTTAGTTGCTGTCCAGTCATCATCGATTCATGAGGACCCCCATGTACAATAGAACAAAACATTGCCTGGTCCTGCTCCATCTTCACAATCATTGGTTTGCTTGAGTCTACTGTTGCAGCCACTGTGTATTTTGAGTATCTACCAACCTAGGAGCCCTGGTGGCACAGTGGTTAAGAGCTCGGCTGCCAACCAGAAGGTTGGCAGTTCGAATCCACCAACCACTCCTTGGAAACCCTATAGGGCAATTCTACTCTGTCCTATAGGGTTGCTATGAGTTGGAATCGACTCTATGGCAACGGGTACCAACCTAGGGGACTCATCTTCCAGCACTATAGTGGACAAAATTCTGTTGTGATCCAAAGGGTTTTCATTGGCTAGTTTTCTGAAGTAGGTTGCCAGACCTTTCTTCCTAATCTCTCTTAGTCTGGAAGGTCCTCTGAACCTGTACACCATGGGTGACCCTGCTGGTATTTGAAATACCAGTGGCTTAGCTTGCAGCATCACAGCTGCACGGAAGTCAC